CTGCTAACTGAAAGGTCAGTGATTCGAACCCACTAGCCACTCCATGGAAGAAGAGACATGACAGTCTGCTCCCATAAAGATTTCAGCCTAGGAAACTGTATGGGGCAGTTCTACTGTGTCCTATAGGTTGCTATGAGTCAAAATCTACTCAAAGGCACACAGAAGCAAGGTTACATTTAGGAGTGGTGTAGTGTGATGAATTACTTAGCATGGCCTTTCTCACCATGGTCTTTTAATTCCCACCCAGGTGATTGAGCAGGGCTGTGCAAATAAGATAATTGTGGCCCACCAAGGGGACTGGTCAGTTTTGCCTTAAAAGAGAGCCAAGTCCAGAGCAGAGAGAAGAGCCCACCACCTCCAAGGAAGGAGAGACCCGCAGGAGATGGAGCAGTGGGCTTCCCAGCCCCTAGTGCAAGAAAGCTGAGAGTCTGTGGGCAGAGACTGAGGACCAGGGAAAAGACTATGCCTGGCCCACGAATTTGGGACTTGCTAGCCTACACAACCACGTGAACCATTTCCTTTATAAGGTTGGTGACTTCTATGAGACTTTGCAGTGAATTAGGGAACCCAAAGACAGGAGGGAGAGTGCTGAGGGAAGAGTGAGTGATGTTAGAGATGATGGAGTGGTATAGCAGCTTAGAAAAGTTGGACATTTGGGACATTTTTAACCTGTGCCTCATAGAAACCAGCTTTGTGCTGATCCTTATAAAAGAAATTATTTGTTTAGTTGGTGTCAGAATGGTAGGTTTCGCTGCAACGGCCCAGACTCACTGGAGTATGTGGTTTTGGAGAAAAGGAGGTAAACAGGAGAATGAGAAACCTTTGGTTTCTGGATGGGATAAAATACACCTGTGGATTGAAGCAGGTGTTACGTTGCAATCAGTTACCCAAGGCAAAAGCTATTCATGGGATTTAGGAAGGGTGGCTTTAACTCCTGAGGAACTGGCTAATTGGATGCATATGGAAATACAAAGTGAAAAGGAAAGAGTCAGACATAAAATTCCTTGGTTTCTGTTATCCATAATAGCTGCAATGGCAGGGAAAAGAACGTAGGGGGTGATTTTAGCACTGAACCAAGCCCAGATCCGATCCAGTCAGAGCTAAGACCTCTAGTCTCAGGACTAATCTAGAAAGGAAAAATTGGGTTGGAACAACAGGAAGTTCCTGTATGACTGTTAGTCACCATGAAGGTAGTCTAGGAAGGAAACAGGCAAAACCAAGAAACTATAGAAACCAGGGGGTATAGTGTAAAGGAATTGCTTCAATTTGTAGATTGTATCGTCAGCTTCCTGAGGAACCGTTACTAAAATGGATTGTGAGAGTGACTAATTTAGGGGCAGTGTGTTTAGTTTTGAATGCTGCAGAATGGAAGACTATGGGTTGATGCCAGACTCACAACTCACTATGAAACAGTCACGAATGGTGATACTAGATCCAGTTACACAGCAGGTTAACCTAGAGGGGACAGTCAACCTGGTAAACTGGATAAAATTTGCAGTGAGATTTGTTTACCCTGAGAAGGGAAACTGCCCCCCTTCCCCTGTAAATGCCCAATGGAAGACTCCAGAGGAAGCAGCTGATGTGCTGCTTATGCAAGCCATGTTGGGATGGCTTTATGGTGGTTGTGATATTCATCCAATGATTATATCCCTTATACAGGTCATGGTAGATATAATCAAGGGAGCCCCTTCTACATGGGCACCCCACGTAACCTTGCTACTGTGGAACAAAGCAACAATCTGAGAAGCCTTGTCGGATCTGTTGGCACAGCTTCCCTATGTGGGTCTTACAGATGCAAGAAACAGAAGGGTGATTCATAGGAGAATGGGAAGAGGCAATGGGGAAAGAACTTACCCCAGCAGGACAGAGACTTTAAGATGGTTACTAAGAAATGGGATGAATATAGCAGACATTGATGGAGTTGAGACCAAAGTTCTAAGGCAACACTACAGGAGGCTAAGTAGACCAATGGAAATTCCTGCTGGTCCCTCAACATTAAAGAGGCCTGAACAAGTCCAACCTATTCACTCCAGCCAGGAGGTATTTAATAATGGGAATTCCCACCTGGGACCATTTAAAGCAGGAGGCCCAGAATTTGATGGGTTTATTTGGATTTTGGAGAATACATATTCCACATCTGGGAATATTGCTGGCCCCCATCCATAAAACCACTCAGAAGAAAACTGCATTCAAATGGGGGCCAGAGCAAAAGCTGGCTATGTCTGAATTACAAAAAGCAGTTTCACTTTCCCTGCCTTTAGGCCCTTATGATCCACATTCAGACAAGATTTTGAAGGTGTCTGCCACACATGCTTATGCAGACTGGAGCTTATGGCGAACACCTTAGAATGCTGCCCTATGGCGACCACTGGGATTCTTGGACTAGAAAGTTTCCAGATGCTGCAGCACAATACGTGCCATTTGAAAGGTACTTACTTGCCTGCCTCAATGATAGAAGGACAGAAAACCATGAGATCTGAAATACCTATAATGTCTTGGGTGATGTCAGAGAAACACTCTAATAATGAAGGCGGTGCCCAAAATAGTTCCATAACAAAATGGAAATGGTTCACACAAGAACAAGCTACTGGAGGCGCCCACCATGTCCTTGACCAGGTAGCCTCTTTTCCCATAGGTCCTACCCTGGAACCACCTGAGAAGCTGCCAGAACCCATTGCTACATGGACAGTGCCCTGTGAACAACTTTCTGCTGATCGGCAGAAGGCTGCTTGGTTCACGGATGGCAGTTCCAGGGTACATGGACAACATATGATGTGGAAAGCTGCTGCATTAAAACTAGCAGATGGAAAGACTCTGACTGAAGGAGGTAAAGGAATGGGTTATGCAGCAGCGGGAACCTCGAGGGAGACTCAGAGCAAAGGAATAATCTTTCAGTTGAATTTTGTCAGAGGTCAGAAATGGTGAAGAGAAGGTGACTTTTGGAGAAGCTGACTGGATCAGATGGAAACCTGCAGCAGACCTGAATGACTTGTACCTCAGTAAACTCACCCTTCGGACTCTTGCCCTGTTGAAGGACTAATGGTTAGTGACTGTTTTGGACTGTAATATGATTGGGAGGAGGAAGTTATCCTCTAAATATGAAGAATCCAGGGGGTGGCCTGTGGTGTGATGAACTACTTAGGATGGCCTTTCTTGCCATGGTCTTGTAACTCCCACCCAGGTGATTGGGTGGGGCTCTGCAAATAAGATAATTGTGGCCCACCAATGGGATTGGTCAGTTTTACCTTAAAAGAGAGCCCATTCCAGAGCAGAGAGAAGAGCCCATCACCACCACGGAAGGAAAAGCCACAGGAGGGACGGCCCAGTGGGCTTCTGGGCCCATGGAGCAAGCAAGCTGAGTGCCTATGGGCAGAGACCGAGGACCAGGGAGAAGCCTATGCCTGACGCATGAGTTTGGGACTTGCCAGCCTCCACAACCATGTGAGCCATTTCCTTTATACAGTTAGTGAGTTCTGAGAGGTGTGCTGAGGGGAGACGGAGTAGTTGATGTTAGAGATGATGGAGTGGTACAGCGGCTTGGAAAAGCTGGACATTTGGGACATCTTTAACCTCCGCCTCATAGGAACCAGCTTTGTGCACGATCCTTATAAAAGAAATTATTTGTTTAAGTGGGCAAAAACTAACTTCTTTGAGTGAGGTTGAAGGTACTATAAGAGAGAGGATAAAATGAATTCATAATTGTATTTTATGGAAGCTTTGCAAATGAAAAACTCCCAACTATTACAATAGCTACTGACAATATTTTGCTTTTCCAGATGAGAACACTTGTATGATGTCTGTAAATCTTTTAATCTGAAACAAACAAGCATAAATCTACCCTCCGCAAAGGAGTTTATAGTCTAGTTTGGGAAAATAGCACTATATTAGAAATAGTTTTGCTGCTCGGGACACAAACTTCAAAATAACAGGAGCTTAGAAATTAGAAGTTATTTTTCTTTATGCTAAAAAAAGGCTATCCAGGGCTGGCATGGAGGGTCCATGGTCATGAGGGCCCCAGGGTGTTTCAATCTTGTGCTCTCTTGCCCTCAATATGCAATTTCTACCTCATGCTGCAAGATACCTGTTCCAGCTCCAACTCCAACCATCACATCCACAATCTAGTCAGCAGGAAGGAAGGAAAAGGGTGCAAAGGCTCCCATTAAGGACATTTCCTGGATGTTGTACTCACCACTTCCACTATTTCCCATTGGCCAGAATATAATCCATGACTACACAAGCTATAAGGGAGGCTGGGAAATATAGTCTTTATTCTGGCTAGCTAGATAACAGGTTCAACTACCCAGGAAGAAGGGGAGAACAAATGTTTGGGGGAAATAGCAATACCTGTATCAGAAAAAAAACACCAACAAAAAAATAGACACATATGTCCTAAAATCTTAGAACAAGGTTAGGGGCATCATTTATAGTACTCTCCTCCCCAACTCCTTCCAAAGTGTTTTGATTATGTGGGGGCATCCAATATATGAAACAAAATTAGGCTCTCGTTTAGTAATTTACATTTTAAAAATAAAATTTAGAGAGTTGCACTCCTATACGGAAGTAATGACTCTTTTGTTTTATTATTTATCACTGTCTAGTACGTGCCATCTCTGCTTACACTACGATTTCTTGGTTCTTTACTTCCTGCTGGAAGTAGGGTTCACATACTATATTTCAACTTACATGCTAACCATAAGGCAAGATACATGACTAGTGTGATGGATTGAATAGTGTCCTTCAAAAATGTGTGTCAACTTAGGTAGGCCTAATTGGCTCCAGAGCCCATGTTCCTACCCCTTGTTCTAGGCCTCAACTGTTGGATAGGTTAAGCCAGGAACTGTAAAGATTACACTCTAGTCCTTAATATCATTTTGAGTCTAAGGTTCTTCAAATATCGTTTCCAAACCTTACAGCAAAGGGTGTAATTTTTTTTTTCACATATGCCTCTTTTGTGAATTTTGAAAGGATGTGGTTATAGCCTTTGACATCAGAAGGAAGCTCTGCAATGCTGACTGAACCTTGATAGAAAGATAACGTTGGAGGCAAGTTGCCTTTGAACAACTCTCTGAAGATCAACGGCCTCCCCATCACATTCCTTGCCCAGAAGCTCTTTCCTCTGGTTGTGCTAAGGGGTGATGCCCAAGGCACATCACTTTTCAAGAATTAGATCATGAACAACTTTATCCTCCTGGAAGAACAACTCATCAAGAAATCCCAACAAAAGAGAAGAACTTCTCCCTCAAACTTTAAAGTCCGTTTCTTTGTTTTAACCAAAACCAGTCTGGCATACTTTGAGGACCGCCATGGGGTATGTGAGCACTTCATTTTGTCTTTCTTTGAATAGTATTTTATATTTGGACTGGGATGATTTGTGAAGATATACATGGAATAAAATAGAAAACAGGGAACACAGACATGATGATTATAACAACCTATAAAGTTCATTAAGAGTAATCAGAAGAGAATGTGGAAAGATGTCAAGAGGTGAGATGGTTTTACTAGGTGATTTCAGTTCCAAAAACCATAGAGCTGTAAGTTTAATAGTCATCAGCTTATTTTCCTGCAAGGTTAAGTTTAATTTTAAAATTATAATAATATTATACGTAGCAAATGTTTTCGTTGGATAGAACTTGAACTTCATTTGAAATATGCTATGTGTTATGGGGACATTTATGAATAAAATATTAGCATCTGATAGAACCTGAGAGATGATGTAGCCCAGATTCCTTATTTTACAGTGGAGGAAACTGGTACCTGGGATAGTTATGTGATGGGTCCAGAGGCTCAGAGCCCTTGAGTAATTTGCCCATGGTTTCACAGCTAGTTAGGTGGTGGAGCCAGAATTAAAACTGTGGTAGGTAGTATCAACATTTTTATTAATTCAACTCATTTGTCTCAACGGTCATCATTCACCTGATATCTTGGAATAATATTCCCTGAGCATTTAATAGTCTGAAATTTTGCCCCAAATTTGCAAGGCACGACGGTAAACCCCTTAAGCCCTTGGAAAACTTCCCAGGAGTCTAGTATCAAGCAAAAAGGGACCTGTAGTGCAGACCAGCGGTTCTTATCCATAAGATAACAGCTGCTTAGCTAAGTCAATCTTTTTGTATATCTACATATACTCTCATATTCCGAAACATCAATAATTACAAGAGCAACGTGAATAATCGTAACAATGTAGTTTGGTAGAAAAAGCCCTGGATGAGGGATCAGGAGACCAAATTCTAATTCTCACTAGGAGATTGAGCCTGTTCAAAAGTCTCCACTTTCCTGGCCTCAGGTTTTTTCTTTATAAAATGAAAGAACTGGAAATAACGACCTACAAGTTCCCTTCCTTCTTTAAAAATTCTTTGGTTCAATGAAGAGGCACTTGTTTAACACTTTTCAGTCATTTATCAATACATGTTTGATTTCTTACTGTATCGTTGTATTATTTTTCCATTATTAGGGAGGTAGGAAAGGGGTTGTCACCTTTATTTTACTGAAGGAGAAATAACATTAGGTGCTTTAATGGTCAGGTGTAGCCAAAACTGCTCCATTTCCTTGTTGGGATCTGACTTAGTAGGTACAGGCAGAAGTGTGGGGTCTTTTGAGAGCCAGGATTTGAAGCATTCAGTGAAACGAAGTCCTGAATAAGGCCAGGCAGTTATATGGAGCCTATGGGTGACTGACCTTTAAGTAATAGGTGAGGATAATGCTGCCTATTTTTTAGAGGGGGATAAGATTTGCTCATCTCCTTTTCACAAAACTAGAAGCCATTCGGCTTCAACCAGTCAGTCAGAAAACAGATGATAATTACTGATTATGTATAAGGCCCCTTTGATAGGTGCTCAATAAATATTTGTTAACTAAATTAACAGAGGGCCAGTAGCCAAGTTTTGAACTTAGGTGATTCAACACACAGAGCTGATAAACCACATGGCGTAGGTCAATTTTTTTTTTTTTGTGAGTGGGACATTCAAGGTTCTTGCTCCATTTTGAAAGAGTTGAAAGAACTGCCTTTAAATATTCTCTTTCAAAGTCCACTTTAAAATTTTCACCAGTTTTTTTTCCTAACTCAACATATCATCATCTCATTTAGTTAGTACTGATCCTGATAATAATTCCTGAACAGCATGGCTGTTTTTGAACTGTTTTGTTGTGAATTCAGTGCAGTATTATTTGTAAAAAAATTGCAAACCAAATGGTCTTGATTCAGAATTTTGTTGGTTATAATTTTTCTTTAGCCAGTATTGTGAAATCATTCCACTTCATTTGATCATTATGAAAAATTCCAACATAATTCATTCATTCTGGGTGTGGGCGAACCCTGGGCTAAAATATCTAGTTTCCATGTGAGATATAGAAAATATATGAAAAAACAAATCAAGTGTTTTGTTTTCTAATGCCTACCATTTATATTCATAAATATTTAAAAAGCATTTCTTCGAATAGTATAGAAATTTATTGGTTAGAAATTTGTCCAATGTCACTGAGAAAGTTAAGATAAATGAGTTATTATGATTCATGTCCTAATTATCTCCCATAGTTTAGGGTCATTGATTTGCACACAGAGAAGTGCACTGCACAGCCCCGATAAATAGCAATGCCATCATATTTATGAAAAGAACATTTTTATTTTTAGATTAAAGCCTCAGTCTTCTCATTTGTAAAATGGGTGTGATGATAGTACCCACTTCATAACAAAATGGTAAAGTTGAACAGAGAATGTATTTAGGCTAAACTATTTGAAATTACCATTTCGTAGATTAAAAAAAAGGTTAGATATAGGCAATTTCATATAGCTCAACTTAATACATAAAGTACAACCAATCCTTGTTATTTGCGGTAATTCCGTTTTATGAAATCACTGTGAATTAGTGACCAGCTATAACTCATGCCTGACCAAAGCTTGTCAGACACACATGGTTTCTCCACAAGGCACATCGCAGACTTCTTGAGCTTAGGAATGCTAGATAGCACGTTAGCACTGCACTTGGGGGCCATTTTAAACAGTGAAATCACCAACAAAAAGTACAAACATGGAGAAAACACAGCATTAATTATACTTCAATAAGGACACTTGTTTGCAGTATGAGAGTGGAAACCAGAAGGCAGCACATCACTTTGTTCAACTTCAGCTGAGACTGCATGTGATAGGCAACTCAAATTTTTTACCTCTCGGTGCATGTCCGCGAAAGTACTGCAACTATTGATTTTGGAGTTACAAATAAGTTTTAGCAAATAGACGAACTTGCAAATATGGAATACAAAAATAATGAAGATTGACTGTACTTAGCATAGGTCCTGTCACTTAGTAAGAATGAGCCATTATTTGTACCATCTCTGAAGGAGCTAGTAGTAGGCTGGCATAACGTATTCATTTTCAGATGAAGGGAAAGATTAAAGAATCCTTTAAAGTCAAGCTAAAATCAGTGTCCTGGATTCCTTCTATTCTGCGGCTAAATATAAGATTAGGGGGAGAGACATGCACACATCACGAGCCATGTGAACCTAGCCTCTTGGGGTCTCAGCTTCTTTTTCTCTTTTTTCATTTGAAATTGTGTTCCTTGTAGTTCTGACAGTCAGTGATTTTATACTACACGAAAAATAACCCTTCTACATACTCAAGAACAAATTCCGTAAATTCTGCAAATTAAATATTTTTATTCTAATTTTTAATACCTGTGTCTATTGTCAATATAACACTGATTGAATGAACTTCTTATTTTAATGTGGATTTAGTTCTGGTGTAAGATGCCTGTTTCCCCTGTTGAGCTGTGCAAGTGTTTTCAGAGAGGCCAGGAAGCCCTTTCACCATGCTGGAGCAGTGGGCAGAAATCATCTCTAGAAGAGCCAAAAAGAAACAGAGTGGGCAGGTGGCAGCTTGCAGGCAGGTGTGACTTCAGATGCTCACCTGTGCTAGCCAGTTTCTTTGCAAAGTGGTCTCTGGTGGCTGCAATTCTTTAACAGAAGACAGTGAGAGGTAAGGGCCCGGTGGTGTTCTACTCTGACACCCATGGGGTCGCCATGAGTCGGAGTCGGCTTAATGACAACTGTTTTTAAGACCATTATTATTCACAATTTTGCCCAGTTCCTCCTTGATCTTCTGAAGTACCTTGGGAGAAATGGAAAGGTTTCCCTAGTTTAATGACTCTGCACTGTAGGGTTCTGGTTTGCTCTATGCTCGCCTTGGAGTGGGAGCCATTACCTTTTACATGAGAGGGGATGAACAGTCAGGCTCTCCATTCCAGTCAGTGTCCTGAGGAGGATCATCACTGCTCATGGACTCTTTCCTTTTGCCTGCAGTCTGATCTAGCAGCAGAACTACCGCTTGTAGCATGCCTCCTTCCAAAATCAAAGCTGACAGATGTGAAAATGTTCCCTTTCCTTGCTTTGTTTTTGTTGTTGTGTGCCACCGAGTCGATTCCAACTCATAGCGACCCTATAGGACAGAGTAGAACTGCCTCATTGGGTTTCCTAGGCTGTAATCTTTACGGGAATAGATCTCCAGGTCTTTTCTCCCTCAGAGCCACTGGTGGGTTCAAACTCCCAACCTTTTGGTTAGCAGCCGAGCGCTTGCTTAACCATTACACCCAGGGCTCCTTTCCTTGCTTTAGGAAACATTATTGGATAGTGGTCGAAAACATAGCTTCTAGTGTCAGACAGATCTGGGTCAAAGACATGCACCACCACTCTAGGGCTGCGTGACTTAATGTTGTACTACCTCTATAAAGCTATTTATGTTTTAAAAGCTGAGTAAACATTCTTTCCTGATGTTATTTCACTTTAATGAGATGGAGGTTACCATAATTCTAATAATAATAATAGCTAACATTTACTGAAAACTTACTATGTGTCAGGCACTGTGTTAAATGTGAATCATTTCATTTAATCCTTACAAAAACCAGTTGCCATCAAGTTGATTCTGACTGATGGTGACCATGTGTGTCAGAGTAGAACTATGCTCCATAGTGTTATCGATGGCTATTTTTTCAGAAGTGGATCGCCAGGCCCTTCTTCCACAGCACCTCTGGGTGGACATGAATCTTCAATTTTTTAGTTAGCAGCCAAACATGTTAATGGTTTGCACCACCTAGAGACTCTAATCCTTACAACCACCCTGGAAGTCAGGAACTATTATCACCCAAATTTACAGAGAAGGAAACTGAAGCAAAGACAGTTTAAGTAACTTGCCTGAGGTCCCATATGTCTCCAGAGCCTACAGCCTCTCTGATAAATGGTGCTTATTATTTTTAGCAGTTGTTACTCACAGGTAATCAGGTATTCCACAGGCTTATGGCAGAATGTGCGATGCTCTATTGC